CAGGTACACGTGGTCATAAGCGCCTCAACGTCCACCGCGTCGCGAACACTCTTCGTATCGCGCTCGTCGCCATGTGATAAAAAAAGAAAAGAAACGATAAAGCGGTCGTGATAAAAAAGGAAGAAAAATAATTTTTAACGATGAGCGGCGGCGGCGACGGCGGTTTCTGCGTTCGCGATCAACAGCCAGCGTGAACAGCCGATCAACGAATCTCAAGACGAACGCTCGAGGGGTAAAAACTGATTCAGCTTGCAAGAGGCCCCCTCCCCGCCCTCCTCCTCGCGAATCCGAACGCGGGGTTTACATCAAATGTACGGTGAACCGCGAGATCTCGCACATATCTCGTTTGATATTATTTTCGTGGATACGCTTCGGAAAAGTCTCCCTCTCTTTTTTCGATCTTTCCTTCGTTTCCTGCTTCGTCTTTTTATCGTGGCTCCAAGCGGAACGATATATCGCACACAGCCGACGAATTCGCGCATTCCGCTCGGCCGGAGATCGCTTAAAACTGTTGTACGGTAAAATCCGAAGAAAGTTCCGCGGTTAGCAACTCGCGCTTGTCACCGGAGAAAAGTTACACACGGTTCAAGCGGAGGCTTCTCTCTGTGACTCCCTCTCGCTCTCGCTCGCCCTCTCTATCTTTCATTCGTTCTCTTCTCAGTCGTTGCCTTTTTTCCAGTCGATTCCGTGAAGAGAAAAGTGGAAGATTAGCCCGCAGGTCGCTGCTGCGCTTCGAGATCGATTCGCGGTATGTAACTAAAGGCCGTTGTCTCACCTCCCTCCTCCTTCACCACACCGTCCTTTCACCCACTCCCTTGCCCCCTCACCGCCCTTCATCCGCTACATTCCTTTCTGGAGGTGCAACGATGCACTCTCTTGCGCGTTTCTCGCCGGTCGAAAGTGCGACTTCGCGCGGCCGGAAAACTCAACGCGTCTCTCGCCCGGGAAAAATTCCGCGCGCGGAGAGAAAAACGTGCAGAATTATGGTTATTCCCCCTCTCGCGAGGGGCGACTCCCCACTATATCCACTAGTTGTTTCAACATATACACTAGAAAAAATGTATTGTTGCGTGAAGCAAAATTTTGTTGTAACAACAAAATAATTTGGTTAAAATATGCCCGACAAAACTGTTTAGTCCCTGTAAACAAATATTCTTGTTTGATTACGGTTTGTTCGTGTAACGTAATACTTTTGTTAAAGCAACCAAGAAGCTTTAACTATATGAATTTTGTTAAAAATACTATAATTTTTTCTTAATATATAAAATCCAAATTTTAGTGCAGAGAAAGACAAAATAGAGTATCCATTGGGTATTATTTTAGTTTATGTAAAATAATATTTCGTTATTATGTAATTTTTATGGATAAAATAACTAAAATGCTTAATTTTTACACATGAAGTCTAAGAACAAAATCATTTGGTCCAAAGAGAACAAAGCAGAAAAATATATTTGGTTGAGACGACTGAATATTTTGTTATATAAAACAAGATATCTGGTTGCTGGTATCAAAAAATGCCTCAATTAAACAGTTTTGTTAGAGATGCTAAATCGTTTTTCCTAGTGTAGTGTAATTATTTTAAACAAAGAGAGATCTCACGGGGCTCTCGTGATAAACAACCGGGCGAGAATAATAAGAGCTATTCACGTTAATTCACTTTTTATCCAGTTATTTTAGCAGTGTCAATTATTTGAAGAAAAAGATAATAATAATAATAATAACAATAACAATAATAGGCAGGTGAAATTAACACCAGTGACACCACGCAGCGGCGGTGCAGCTGCTTCCTGGAAAAATGATTTTCCCCGACCGTAATTAGTTCGCTGTGCAATTACAGCCGCACAAATAGCAAGCGCTTTCTTCTCAGCGCACGTCCGCGTGTACGCCGCGGCGGCGTTCTCGCGGATGATCGATTCATCGCGCTGGGCTTTCCCGGGTGAGTTCGCCGAAGCGATAGCCACGTCGTCGTCGGCGACTTATGTTTCGTGCGACCGTTGAATTCGTCAATAGCGAGTCTCGGAAGAGCGAGCGAGAGAAAAGAAAGAAGAGCGAAAGAAACGCGCGGAATTCCGGAAAGAAGGGCAGCGCGCGCGCGCGCGCGCGCGTGATTAAAGAGCGCCCGCCCGAGAGGGGGAGCTTTAATGACATCTACTTAGTAATTATGCGAACGCTCATTAGCGAGTATATATAAAAAAGCTCCGCGTCCTGGCGGTGTCGGCCGCCGCCAAGGTGTCCTGTTCGCGAGTCCGCTCGGGGTATCAGGACGAGGCGCCCGGGGCGTCGAGCATTGTCATCGATCCGCCGTTATCCGGTATCGCGATTGGAATAATCGACTGACGCCAACCGTGACACGGAAGTCGGTCGACACGGACGTCGCCGGACACTCGACACCGCCGACAAATCCGCGAGCGATACTACGCAATCGCGTAGTAAATTAGCAGGGAGGCGACTTAGCGATCCGAGAAATGCGCCAACTCTCGCCAGCACTCGTCGCGATAAGTTTCGTGAGGAAATGCTTACTCCTGCTGCGAATGCTCGTTCCGATGGTTCTCATAAGATGGCAAGTTTTCATCGCTCTTACGAAGCTATGTACATTTTTCTTTCTCTTTCTCATAAAACACAACCACGTTGTAAAATAGTTGCTTAAATAGAGCTAAATAAGATTTGCTCGAAAGAAAGGATCGCGAGGATACCGACGACCGAATCCTTTCGCTCGTCTCGCTCGTTCTTTTTCTTCTCTCTCCCGTCCCCCTTGCCCGCGCACCTACTAACCTTCTCCCCGCCCCCCGCCAACGGCCACCGCGGAATCGACGAACCGCGACACGCAATTTTCCCGGCTTCACGCCCGTCGCGGAAACCGCGGTGGAACGGAATTTCCGGTCGCGCAAGAAGCCCCGCGCAAACACCGCCATTAAACGCGCGCCACGCAAAAACCCGCGACTTGCCTCCCCCCTCCTCTCTTTCTCTCCCTCTTCTTCGACCCCCTTCACGACTCGAGCCCCCTCATCAGCCCCCTCGAGAGGCGGATTTGCACGCTCGACCGGCCGGTTGCGAGATCACGCGCGGAGGAAGACAGCGACTCAGAACGCGAGAACGAAAAAGAGAGGGAGACCGAGGAAGGGGAGAAAGGAGAGTAAGGGGAGAGAGAACAGGTGCGATCCTTTCGCGATGGGAAAACGAGATCGCGAGAGATTACGTGGCGGCGACGGCGACGGTCACGTTGCGGCACGAGAAAAAAGAGACGGCGGCGGCGGCGGCGGGCGAAGGGAAGAAGGGCGAGAGGGAGGGTAAGTTGCGCGCGGCGTGGACGGAAAAGTGACGTCGCTAATTGGAGCGCAAAGCCGACCCCGTAATTGCGTGCGCTTCGCTTTGTTCTCACGTGAGAAACTCGCGGGTACATCTTGCTGCGCCGCTCTCTGACAAGACGGCGGGACAAGAGGATGATGAAGAAGAGGAGGAGAAGGAGGAGGAGGAGGAGGAGGAGGAGAAAAAAGTTCGCGAGATTCGAATGGAGGAGAGACGATTTTTGAGCTATCGGATTTCTCGAGTTTAGGACGGTGATGTTGTTAGAACCGCTTGGCATTTCTGCCAAAAAAGGACACATCGACAATCGCGCGTGAATTCCGATGGCTCTTCTGCTCGAGGAAGCTTCGCGATGGTGCGTTCTTTAACGTCCTGTATGCATAGCGCATACGCGCGAAATCAGACATGTTTCGTGTTTCATTCGTTTAACTCGACAGTCGTTAAACCGCGACGGAGAGGCGACTCCGGTTTATCCGGAAGCTGACGGGAGCGGTCGGAAAGTGTTTCAATGAAAATCTCCATTGCGCACCGCCCCGGAACAGAAGGACGTGTACGTCCTAGTCTAGTTGTCCTGGTTTTCCCTGCCTTCCTTCTGCTTTCCCGAGCTATCCCGAGAGCCGAGCAAGAATTTCACCGCGAAAGGACAAACGATTATTCTTGGCGTCCGCTGCGTAGAAAAAAGCAGCACGAACAAGAAGAGAGGAGTGGCAAAGGGAGGGAGGAGGACTGAGAGGGAGGAAGCTCTTTCCTTAGATAAACGATCGCTCTTTAGTCCTCGGCGCGATAAAGGCAAACGTCGCGGAAAATTCTTCCGAGATGGCCGGAGGACTTCGATCGTCAAGGTCAACGACGAATGCGTCGAGCGGTAAGGTCAATGCTTACTGGAGAAATAGATGCGAAAGTAGGAAATAGATGTGCAAGAAAAAATTGATTTTGAATAGCAGCAGCTGAATCTCTCAGCAGTTGATACGAACTTAGCTGAAATCGCTTCGTCGTCGTGAGAGCTGACAAGTAAACCTCGGCGAACGTCAGACGCCGATTTGTTTCCAATTTTCTATAGTTATTTTTTATGTCAAAATATAGAGAAATCTGTTATCATTTTTAGCTTAAATTAATCTTTCAATTTTTTTCGAAATTTCCGAAGTTTTCTGTCCGTTCTTGTTTCGTTCATTTCTTCATTTATTCATTTTTTTATCAAATTTTTACGTTAAAATGAGCTTTTTTAAAATTTGCTGGATAGTGAGCCCAACGTCGAATGTAGCGTAAAACTGAACACTTTTTCAACAATGACGTCGGCCATGTTAGATCCGTCATTTCGAATTTTACAAAATGGTTCTGATTCATAATCGGCGACATGTGTGTGCAAGTTTCAACAAATCGGATATATATATGTTTATGAAATATTGTTTTAAATATGTATAAAATATTGTACTTGTGCAAAACTTCAGAAATTTCGAAAAAAATTGAAAAAATTAATTTAAGCTGAAAATGATAACAGATTTCTTCATATTTGGACATAAAAAATAACTACAAAAAATTGGAAACAAATCGGCGTCTGACGTTCCTCGAGGTTTATTTGTGAGAGCAAGCTGCATTCACTGCGAAGCGACAACACACTTATCGGTGAAAAAATATTTAAATAAAATTAACTTTAAGATCTACTCTAGCGACATGTGAGTGATTGGTATTTGTTGCAGGTTGAAATTAAAAGCGCACGCTGGCGCGAGCAACACACGGCGCGTCTCAGCTGCCTCTTACTGATCCTTCCCCGGCACCGGGACATCAGGAACATCGAACCGAGCATCGGAATATTTCGAGCGCGGCTCGAGTCGTCGAACATGGCGGCCGCCGCGGACGATAGAATATCGTACATATCCGGAAGCAACATACATATGTACGGCCAGGAAGGATTATGCAGAGATGGAGGTCTTTTGTCCGCGTGGAAATAAGCGTGATGGTCCGCGACTCGCTTCCGATCGGAATCAGCTCGGGGTATCCTTCTGTCGGACGGACGATCCTTCGGCAAGAAAAGCCGAGGCGAGACGTGAGCCCGTCTCTCTCGAGTCGCGAAGATTTCGCCATCTGATTTCCAGGCCCTCCCCCCGCTTTTCCGGTGCGCGAGGATCAGGAAAACGGTGGCAGGGCAGGGGGCGGATGGAGGAGCGGCACAACGGAAATCTTCTTCTTCTTCTTCTTCTTTTAGCCGGGTGTAGTGAAGGTGAAGAATGGCGAGCTGGGCGAGAGAGGCTTTCGGGCTTAAAGCTACGCTCCTCGATGGACGGACGCGAAGGATCCGGTAACGTGCGAGGGGCGAGCAGCGATCTGAGGATCTTCGGCCCGCCGGCTGTCGGAAGGATACGGAAGGATTCGCGCGACCGAATGTTTAAGTGGCCGGGATCCGAGAAGCAGCAACCGAGTGGGTGCTCAAAAACGCGGCGGTCCGGTCCTACGAGAATTCGAGAAGCCGAGAAGGACCCGAAGATTCCGGAGATTTACGGAGATCCCCGCGGAAATTAGTTACTCCGGATTTATTTCGGAAACTCCGGTCCTCGGGAAATTGGATTTTGCGGCCGGTTCGAGTCTCTCACTTTAAGAATTCTCATTCCTAACCGTTTCGTTATTCAATCTTGAGTTTTGCACCTACGTTCTTTAATAAAGGCTCTATAATTACAACATCTCCCACTTCTCTCTCTCCCCCAATATATGTCTCACTCAAAGTTACCCAGGACGAATGAAAATGTGAAGAAGAAAGCAAAGATGCAAACAACGCCGCTCAAAGCCACAAGAATGGCTGTCTAGTTCAAACTTTGGGCGAATTTTCAATTCGCACGAGTCACTGTTTCAATTAATCAAAGTGAATTGATAGTGGAGTCCATTGAGATCCACTCTTCAACCTCGAGTGAAAATATTCGCTCAATAATTCAGAGTGGAAAACAATGAGAGCGAAAGATTGTTATGCTTTTCGAGAGGAATTCTAACCGAAAAAAAAAAAAAAAAATTGAAAAATAATACAATGATGTTAATAGAATTTCGTATTAATAATAATTTCAACGACGACAGATTCCCTTTATCCATCACGATTATCTTAAGGATTATAGTAACTATAACTATATATTATATACCGGTCACTGTATACACACGCAACTTCCGCTTGCAAATTTTTCCCAAGAGTATTTAACAATCGCCGCGCCGCGGCGCACTCGCTCGCAGAACAACTCGCGGCGAGAATCCTCGAACGCTCGATGGTATCTTTCGATTATCGTCCTCTTCAATCAGCCCGCCGACCAGAGTTTAAAGTATCACGCGTTGTTACCGACCCGCGCGAAAGGAAAAGAGGTCAAAGTTTGTTGAGCGCCGCTATTAATCGGCGTCGCGTCTGAAAGCCGAGGCGAGGAAAAGCGCCTTTTCGCGTCACGCAAACTCCGCCGTCTGATTTTTCCGCGGCGGCGTCCATTTTTCCAGCAGATGGATCGGCAGGCGGGGCTGGCAAAAGGGGAGAAGAGTGGGCGAAGGCGAAAGAAGAAGAAGAAGAAGAAGAAGAGAGAGAGAGAGAGAGAGAGGAGGGGGAGACAGAGGAGAACGGAAATCCTTCTTTTAGCTCGGTGCACGAGCGGTGAAGAATGACGGTGAGCTTTAGAGCTTAAAGCCGCGTTCCTCCGGACGCTTCTGCCGCCACGTCCAAAGCGAGATGGCGAACGCCGGAGGAAGAAGCGAGGGGCGAGGAGGACGGGAATATCCTTTCGGATCCTTTTAAGGTGCACACGGACACATGCGCGCTTATGAGCTACTGACGCACGTGAGGCTGCGAGATATTCGAAGCTTTGAGCTTCGAGCTTATTCATCCGCGATAAGTTTCGTTTGAAAATTATACAAGCTATTCATCCCGCTCTCTCGCTCTCTCTCTCTCTCTCTCTCTCTCGCTCCCGGTCTCTCTCGGTTTGCATCCGCGCCCATTATCGCGTCAACATTTAACCCTGTGTTGGCCTATGGCAGTGTTTGTTGCGAAATCCCACCGCAAATATTTATCTAAATTATCTGGATATTTTTTTGCAAGCAGCTAGTTTAGCCAGATATTTTTCGTCCTGACTTATCGATCCTTCACGGTTCCCGGTAAAAAAGTTTCAAGCACGATATGATATTTCGGGCAATTCTTCATTTCTTTTTCTCTTTCGTCTAAAAAATGTAAGGGAATTTAAAAGTGGAAGAGAGAACCAGCGGCTTAACGGTCAAGTTCTAGCGGATCCTTCGAGTACTTGCGACCGAATATATGTTCGCCGAAAATACTCGGGGGATCGATCGTTCCTGATGCTCAGGCGGCACTATCGAAAATGCGGCACGTTCCTTGCGATTTATATTTCACGGGTGCGAATGCAGCGACAAAAGTCGTGCTCGCCGAGCAAGTTAAGCGCATTAAGCGCGTTAAGCTTTAACAACAGGATCCAAGAAACCGAATATAGCGAGAAGTGATTCTGACGGTTAAACGTCTTCCTGCTTCTCCTGAGGTTTACGATATATCGTAGCTTTTAGAGACGCTTTTAGAGAGTCGTACAGGTTGCTCATAAATAATTTGCATCTCGGTCTCTCCGGACGACGCACAATTCAGATTTTATTCGCCTCTCGCCGAAATGACCGCTGACCCAAGATGGTGGCGCATGTAATTCGATGACGTAACGCGACCCACGAGGCGCTTCTCCTTTTAGTCAGCCCTGCACCTCCATTATCTTCGGATCAAAATATCACCGGATTGCATTTACGTGTGGCAAGTCAACGTCAATTCTACACATCCATCATGGGGCCAAAACGATATAATCACATCATCATGGTTCGTCGCTAAATTTGATGACCTCGTGACATTATTATTCTGCATTGATAATCGCGGGAAAATGATACTCGAGACTCGGGTGCAAGTAATCAGTTTATGTCTCAATTTGGTATATTCCCTCGAATTTTTATCACCGACGGAAACATGGAATATTCAAAGTTTTCGAAAAGTCGAGAGATCCGAGAACGAAATTAAATCCCAAACTCTAATCAGAGTCAACGAGCGTCTCGAATCTAAAGGGATCGGAAATCCTGACTTTTTATGTCAACCAACCAACGATCTTCGTCTCAATAATCGATATCCTACATGAAAAGACTGTCGGTGACGACAATCAAACGCGTCATCTACAAACACCGAACTCTGCCGAAGGCAGAGACACGCGGCTCTCACGAGAGAGCCCGCCGAGGCCGAGAGGAGATTCCAAAGTGAAAATCACAAAGCCCGTATTCGCCGTGCTCGAACGATCCGCCGTAATAAGTGCTCGGAGACACCTCGCGAAACTTCCGGTCCGATCTACAAAAGGATCGCGACATATAAGCACGGTTGAGAACAGAGACGATGTTGCATGCGCGCGCGCGCGCGCGCGAATATCGCGATCCCGAGTCGCGCGAGCGAAACACGCTCCGCCGCGCCGTGGGGGCTCTAATACGCGAATTTAGCAACCCCCTAAACAAGGGCGCAGATTCATAACCTCGGCGTGTAAGCCCGCATAAATGCGTTTCCCTGCTTCTAGCATATTGCCCGCAAAGTAAGGCCGATTAAATCACCGCGGGCGTATTGCGCAACGCATTAAACGCGCCCGGAAGACCGGCAAGAGGGAGGGGAGCGGCGGGGGTAAATACAGCGGGAGCCAAGCGAGGCGAGGAAGAGGAGGGTGAGAAAGTTTTTCTCAATTTCATGTAGCTGCGGCTCGGGTTAATCCGTTTTTGCCCACGAAAGAAGCTCGAGGCAAACACAAATGAATCATCGCTTCCGCCGCGTTGGATCGCACTGCGAGATTCGGCTTTGATATCCGACAGAGATAGCTGATTCGATTAATGTCGCGTAACGTCGCGGACGCGCGGTTTCCGGAGAGAAACGCGAAGGCGCGCGTGGCGCATGCGGTGCGCCGTTCGTAGAACGCTCGAGCGACGAAGAGAATCGCAATGGGCGATCGGCGGGAAATTGAAAAGAAAAACTCGGTGAAGCAGGTGCAGTGAGAAAAACTGTAAATGATGCACGAAAGAGGACAAAATAAATCCATGGTTTCAGGAAGATTAAATATACGTTCTTCGCGAGGATGTTTGATACAACTTTCGCGAGATGTGAGATGATACGATCGCAAATTATTGTGAGATATTAAAGAGGAAGTTTAAAGAGAGAAATTAGAGGAGTTCAAGCAGAGTCGGCAAATCGAACACTTTCCTGCAGAAAATTTTATAAATTTTAACTGTAGTAAGATCATTCTCGATGACTGACTTTAATTGCATTTAATATCTCGCAACAATTTGATGACATCAACTCACGCGAAAAAAATTGTAACAAGCATTCCTGGAGAATGTATATTTCATTTTTCTCAAAGCATGAATTTATTTTGTCCTCTTTTATGTATCATTAAGTGCAAATAATTGTCAATGATGGCATACAACTCCAGGTACGGCATCTGTAATAATCTTCTCTTTCAGTGAAGTAAAAAAAAAAGTTATTATTATTGATTAAAGTAATGTTATTATTATTATTATCGTTTTTCTTTTCGTTATTATCAGGTTCAATTCTTCTCAAATGAAACGTACCTCGTCTCTCATAAGTTTCCCGATAGGAGGATCGCCCGTATCCGACAGAATCCTGCGGACAAGTATATAGTCGACAATTGCGGAGCAATTGCGTGCAGTGTTCAGCCACATGTTCAGAAGCGAGATCCTGCGGGGCTTTCAAGGGTCGCTGCTTTTTTCCACCGGCTAAGGACCGCATTCCTCGTGTGCACGAAACGCGGAGGAGCCCCTAACGATCCATCGGTGGATCATTCGACGTTATCGCGCGGCTTTTGCTAATTGCGCGCTGCCCGGATACAAGCGGCGGGACATCCCCAAAAGGACCACGAAGAAAGGATCCGACCCGAGAAAGGATAAATCGGCGGTAGGATGTACAAATCGCGTTTGCCCGATAACCGATCCGGTTCGCCTCGGAGAAACTCCCCCCTATTTATTACGGTTGCTGCCGAGCAAAT